ATATATTGGCAGACTTTGCTACTAAATACTGCCATGCCATACCATTGATCTTTCTCTCCTTCTGATCTTTGGGAGTAGGGAAAGATAGTTTTCTTTCACTTTGATTATTCACTGACCTAAGAGCTTTACGCCTGTCCTTGATGAAAATACACCTATTTTCTGTACAAGTACTACTTGTTCAAATCTTGAATCCTTAGATTCGTGATTATGTAATTAAATGTAATAGGAATGTTGATACTCGTTGGAAATTGATGGTGAAAGTAGGTGGAATAGTAAGCAAAAATCTATGGCCTGAATACAGGCCTGAACATATCTCTGAACATTGACTGGCAGTTTTAATGAACTAGATTTCTTATTTGACCCTGTACTCAGTGCCAGACATGTGTGAAGTTCACATAGCCATCAGTTGTCTCTGGGAAATAACTAGAATCTGCTCATTATGGTACCATAACATAATTCTAATAGTCACCTAATATAAATCTTTGTCACTGTGACCATTCCATGCTGTTGACTATGCTTTGTAATGATCAGATGATTCTAAATTGTAGGCCTATGGGTCTATCCCTGCTCCCAGGTTTCATCTTGAGGACAGTTTCTGTTCAGCCAGCTAAAATATCCTCTTTGTTCCTGTGCTCCCTCTGCCCCACCTGGTGATGAGAGCTACAGGGCAGTGTTGACTCCACCTTAGGCATGATAATTTCCCACTTACCTGGGGGATATTCCATTGTGCAGCAGCTAGGTATTTAAGGTTTTCCCTAAGTTTGAATAAATGACCTTCAGCTGATCTCTTTTTGAATGACCCAGGTCTCTTGTGTGTTCTTTTAATCTCCAGGCTCTTGCCTGGCTCACATATGGTACAGTGGTGCGCAAACTGTACGAAGAGAGTAACAGTTGGAGACCCCAACAAGATCAGGAGTTACAGTTGGAGGCCCATCAGCAAGACTGAGAAGTAGGGGACCCCTGAGAGATCGCCCTCGGATGCTGGCCAGCAGGTAAGAATTGATTGGTGAGGGTGAATTGAAAATGGGTGCAATTAATTCTGTTCCAGTTTTAATGGGCCAATTAACAGACCAATTGTTAGCTCTGTTAGAGAAATAAGGCACCGGTATTAAAATTGAGACAGCGCAAGGCAAGAGATCATTAAGACAGTGTTAGAGTATAGTCCCTGGTTTCTTCATGCAGGGGAGCTTTAATATTTCTGATTGGGAACAGGTAAAGGCTGACCTTCAAAAAGCATTGAAAGAGCAAGGGACAGAAGAATTTCCCATAGCAATATTTTGAAAGACCCCCCATACTTGAAAGACCCCTGTACTTGGAAGACTCCTGTGCCCACATACTATGTTAAACTCTGCTGAAAATTTTGCTGGGCCCCTGGGCTCAGCCGATGCTAAAGCTGGATATCTATGGGTTGCAGACTCACTGAATAGGCTAAGGAAAGAGAATACTCCACCCCCAAGGCATTCTATCTAAATTGTCAACTTGCTGCAGAGTGCTATATCTAGCTTTGTGTTTTTTTGGGGGGACTAAGGAGAAGGAATACTCCACCCCCCAAGATATCCTATCTAAACTGTCAACTCGCTGCAGGGTGTTTTTATCTGTCTTTATGGTTTTTCAGGGAAATTCAAGAATAGACGTGGGGCCATTCCCAGGATGAGTTAAGCCCACCAATTTGAGAGCCAATGAAATGCTTGTGCTATACTACCCTCTTATGTAATCATTTTTCCCTATAAATATGGCTGTTTGAATTTTCCCAGGGTGCTCAGTTGGCATAAGCTGCTGTTGCGCCCACAGGCCCTGTGTAATCAATAAAGACATTTCTTGCTAATTGCATCTGTTGGCCTGGATTATTGAGACTGGGGGATTTCTCCCACCACCCTTGAAAATGAGGATTTTTCAATTTTCACTGTGGCGCTTAGTCAGAGATGCTCTTCTCAGTGATGTAAAAGTAAAAGAGCAATTAGAGAATTTGAACAGAACATTTGAGGAGATTCAGGATGTAGAATCTGTGATTCTATTAAGAGCTTTGGGGGGGGGGAGTTGAGAATTCTAAAATGGATATGGGAGAGGAAGAAGAAATTTTATAAAAGGAGATTGCACTGATAAAAAAGAAGTTAGAAAAGGAAGAAAGAAAGGGAGCAAACAGAGATGTCTCCATGAGACCTCCACCACAAAATCAGTTACTTGCCACTTCAAATCCTTTTGCTGCTGCTTCCACCCCATTGACTTAGAGGCAGAAATCCAAGAGATCCAAAGTAGACTAAATAATCTAAGTAGAGAAAGGCAAATTTATTATGTTGTGGAAGTTATTGATCCATAAGGACAGAGGATCAGGCAGCATACCTCTCTGACCTTTAAGAACATTAAGCAACTAAAAGCAGCTACAGCCTATGGAACTCATGCACCATTCACTGTGGCTTTAATGGAATCTTCTGTGGAACGCAACCTTACACCAGTGACTGGATGCTGTTTTACAGGGCTTGTCTTTCGGGGGAGATTATTTGTTATGGAAAGTCAAATATAGGTGCAGGAAAATTGCAAAAATACTGCCCCGTGTAATGCCACTGCAGGTATCCCCCAGCATAACCTTGACATGTTAACTGGTGCAGGACAGTGCCAGCTTAGCAGCACTGATTGCTTATGATCCTGCTGTTTGCTCAGATAGCTTGGAAAGCTTTACCTAATAAAGGAGCAGGGGAACAGCTGTTTAAGATCCTTCAAGGATCTTCAGAATCTTATTCTGAGTTTTTTTTTTTTTTTTTTTTTTTTACTGCCTGTTACATCTATCACATTTTTGGGGAGGTGGAATCAGATATGCCAGTCATAAAACAATTGGCCCAAGAAATGCTAACAACTACTGTCAAGAGGCTATATCCCCCCATAGAAATAGCAGTTTAAATGACTTTATCCAGTCATGGACATTGCATGGACATTGATGACACTCATGTGATGGGTCAGGTAATTGTTTCTGCCCTTAGGGAGGGTCAAGGTGTAGCTAGATCAAGGAATTGTTTTCAGTGTGGAAGGTCAGGACACATCAAAAGAAATTGCCCTGCAGGTAAAGAGGTAGTTAATCAGCCCAGGGGAAATACAGGTGTTTTCTCAAAAAGTCAAAAGTGGGCTCAGTGGGCTAATGACTGTCACTCTAAAACTGACATTCAAGGAAATCTCATCCCTGTGTTTGGAAACGGGAGGAGGGGCCTGCCCTGGGCCCCCAAAACACAAGTGTACAGGACCATGAGTAGACCGCTTTTCCCATCAGATTCATTCCTCAGAGAAATGCCTCTCTGTCTATGACCTTGTCCGAGGTACCCCAGGAAGTTCAGGACTAGACCTCTGGACCTCCATCCAGGCAGTATTGACCCTTCAAATGGGTATATAGGCCTTGGGGAATGGAGTATATGAACCTATTCCAGAAGGTTCAATAGGTATAGTCTTGGGTAGGAGTTCTGCACTTAAATGAATTAAAATTTTACCAGGAGTCATAGACTGTGATTATAGTGGAGAAATTAAAATTATGATTGAAGCTGGTATAGGAATCCTTGGCATCTCTCAAGGAGTGAGAATAGCTCAACTAGTGCTTTTGCCCATGTTTTGCTCTACTAATCCATTTTTTAAAATAAGAATGAAAGGGCAAGGGGTTTGGCTCCACAGGATTCCCTGGAGCTTTTGGGGTTTCTATTTTTGAGAACTGGCCCACACTTACATTAACAATCAATGGACAAAGTTCCAAGGCCTTGCTGATACACGGCTGATAGTTCTGTGATTGCTAAAACCACTGGCTCGCAGTCTCACTTCTACAGCCAGCCTCTGTGACATTACAGGGGGTAGGAATGGCCAGTTCTCCAGAGTGCAGTATCCAATATTTAGATTGGAATGATGAAGAAGGCCATAAGGATATTTTTAAACTATTTGTCCCGGAACACCTTCCTCTCAATTTGTGGGGAAGAGATGTCTTATAAGCCATGGGAGCAGTTCTGACCACTGAACCTGTACAGTGCATGTTAACAAACCAGGGCTTTGTCCCTGGTCAGGGGCTGGGCAAAAATCTGCAGGGAGATACCCAGATTTTAGCGGACAAGAAAATAATACAACAGTTACCTGGACAATGTGCAGGGCTAGGAGATTTTTCTTAGGAGCCATTGCAGAGCATCCAGAAAGCATTCCCCCAAAAAATTGAAAACTGAAAAACATGTATGGATAGAGCAATGGCTCTCAAGTAAGCAAAAATTACAGGTAGCTTATACCCTGATCCAGGAACAGCTAGAGGCAGGACACATAGTGCCATCCACTTCTCCATGGAATACTCCTATGTTTGTTACTAAGAAAAAGTCTAATAAATGGAGGGTGCTGCAAGATATTAGAGCAGTAAATAATTGTATGGAAATTATTTGGACAACTCAACCTGGGTTGCCTCAGCCTTTGGGTATCCCTGCAGGATACCATCTTTTAGTTGTTGACCTAAATGATTGTGTTTTCACCGTTGCTTTGCATCCAAAAGACTGATAAATTAGCTTTCAGTGTACCATCTATAAATTTCATAGAACTGTATAGATGCTACCAATTGGTAGCATTACCCAATGGTATGGCCAGTAGTCCTGTCATCTGCCAAATGTTTGTGGCCCGGGTTATTGCCCCAATATGGCATAGATATTCTGAACTGTATATCATCCATTATATGGATGATATCTGATTAGCTGGCAGGACCAAGATATAGTTCTTGAGGCTTTTGTTGACTTACAAGAATGTCTAGCACATGCTGGGTTGATGATTGCCTCTGAAAAGGTACAACACCAGTTTCCATATCAATACTTGGTGCATCAGCTGTTGCAGACAGGAGTAAAACCACAGAAAGTTACTCTTTACTTGGAAAAACTACAAACTTTGAATGATCTTCAAAAATTGCTTGGAGACCTCATTGGGTCCAGCCCAGTCTGGGAATTCCTACTAGAGTCTTAAAACCACTTTTGGACATTCTGCAGGGGAATGCAGATCCAACCTCCTTCTGTAAGTTGACACCAGGCAAGGCAATGTATATTACTCTCAGCATAGTCCTACTGGAGATTTTTGGGAGCAAGGACCCATCCTATGGGTACATGAATATGTGTCACCTGTAAAAATTGTTATCTCATATCCATCAGCTGTGCTATGTGTCATTCAGAAAGGGTATAAACTTAGTTTTCAAACCTTTGGAATGTTACCTTATAAGGTTCTTACACCATATACCCAGGCAGAAATAACTTGGCTGCAAAATTTTGCTGAATTGGACCTTGTTTTTATGCACTAATCACTGCAGGTTTGATAATCATTATCCTTCTGATAAGTTGGTCACCCTTTTCAAAAGTTACCTGGTATGCTTCCCTTTAGGGAATAACTTTAGTTATTTCTTTGCAGTCTCTGGCAGGGGCACAAAATGTGTTTACTGATGGGTCTTCAGCCAGGTGATCTGTGGTGGCCTCCCCTCCTGATTTTGATATTCAGCTCTGAGTCTTATTTATGGCATGTACACACTTCTCACCTTGCTTGCCCTGCTCACTCTGTTTCTCATGGCAAATATATGAGTCAGCCCTTCTTTTTTCAGCATTGTCTCTGCCTTGAACCTTCTTCCTTGCCATCAGTCAATCCATTTATTATTAGCAATGAATGCAATATATCTTCATATTGTAGGAAAAGCTTATTACACAACAACAAATAAACCTATATCCCATTTATAACTGGATTTATTTGGTATTTTGATGTCAAGTTTTTTTAATTCTTTGTATATTTTGATCAGTGCTCTGTCAGATATAGGGTTGGTTAAAATGTTTTTTTTTTTTTTCATTCTGAACTCTGCCATTTTATCTTACTGACAGTATTTTTGCCTTACAGTAGTTTTTCAGTTTTAGGAGAACCCAACTATTAATTGTTGATCTTAATGTTATATTCAGGACATTGTCTCCTGTGCCAATGCATTCAAGGCTACTTCCTACCTCATAGTATGTACTCACTCATAAAT